GCGCCTAGGTGTCGCCCTTTCTGTCTTCTGATCAGATTCTGGCACCTAGGTGCTAGGAAGTGGTGCCTAGGCACCACATACTGCACTCAACATTGTTCTAATTGTGTTGTTTCGCTTTGATTTCACTCCAGTTCGCTCCAATTGCATTATCTTTTATACATGTACAAAAAACATAAAAATACATTTCTTTAAAGTGCAATTTCATTCATAAATAAATTAAGCATTCCATCTATTTTTAAAAATAAAAATGAAAATATACTAATTACTCTATATAAACACTACAATTTCTAAATCTAAGTCTTACAGATTCAACTAAAATTCTCCTACTGTTGCGACTCTCCGGCAACGGCGCTATAAACTTGACCGCTTACTTTCTCTACGGTATACCCAGTGATTTAGGGTTTAAATATTATAATTTAAAAATATATTTTATAAATTTTATAACTTAATATTTACTACGATTAAACACTATTCACTAGGTATTAACGCAAGTGCACGTATCGTTCAAGTAATATAGGACTTTATTTAGTCCCGAGTATCGATCCTATAGGGAACCACCGAAGAAATCACTTTAGGTGAAGTTCTAGTCTACTACGATAAGGTCCTAGTTTGAAGTGTCGATAAAAGTTGTTTTCTTATCACTACTTCTAAGTTACAATTTTAATCCTATGTTAAAGATTATCAAGAGCAATTAATAAGGTGAAATTCAAAATTGATAAAAAGCACTTTTCTCTTATGAATAATTAAGTAGGTTGTAGGTTTGAATTTTAAGAATGTAAATAAAGTAGTGGCAAAAGAATCATATGCTATCTACCCTCTCCCGAGTTATAGATACAATTAGTTCACTAATAAATTATTTGCATTTGGTAACAGTGTCAGTTGGTGCCACATATAGGCTCCCCATAACGTATGCCCCGCCTGTCACCCAGAAAGCTCTAATATGAACCTCCCAAAATACTTATCTCCCTAACTTTGCACATCCCTCTAACTACTATGTTTCATAGTTAAATGGACAATGTAAACATTCTCATGTTGATTCACCACGGCTCTCACTCAAGTCAAGTGGGTCGCAACAAGTTTTAACAAATCTTATGGCCGATAAGATATGTAAATTAAGTCTAGGAGAACATTCATCACATATAAAATTAAGATTTATTCTTAAACTTCAACACCCTACACTTACTACCAAATCATCACAAAAAAGTATAGGGTTTCTACTCACAATGCATGATAAATTCAATAGAAAACATCATGAAATAAAGCTTATAAACTAAATATGTGTTGTATGGGATGGCAAGATAATCTAACAAACTCTACTTAGCAAAACAAGTTCACTAAATACGCGTTTATTGGATTACAATGCAATCAAAACATACAATACTTAGCTTTAATCTCTTTGAAATCCTTCCACTGAAGTTTTATACTACTCCTTGCAATTGCTGATACAATCCCTTACAAATGCTATCAAATTCCCTTACAAATCTCTATATATTAGTGGAATCCTACTCCTAATATGAATTTTCTAAAGTCTTTGGGGAGTTACATACCGTGAAACTTTGTCCTCAAGTCCTCAAATGGCAAAAAATCGCCCTTTCCATCGTCCCAAATCGCTAAATAACCCCCAGAAAACTGCTCCAATTACTTCTGGCGCCAGAAAGTAACGCCTAGGTGCCGCCCTTTCTGTCTTCTGGTCGGATTCTGGCACCTAGGTGCTTGGAAGTGGCACCTAGGCACATGGTGCACTCAACATTGCTCGAATTGTGTTGTTTCGCTCTGATTTCACTCTAGTTCGCTCCAATTGCTTTATCTATTATACATGTACAAAAAACATAAAAATACATTCATTTAAAGTGCAATTTCATTCATAAACAAATTAAACATTCCTTCTATTTTTAAAAATAAAAATGACAATTTACTAATTACTCTATATAAACATTATAATTTCTAAATCTAATTCTTACATATTCAACTAAAATTCTCCTGAAAAAGTTATTCTGCTGTTGCGACTCCCAGGCAACGACGTAAAAAACATGACCGCTTACTTTCTCTACGGTATACCTAGTGATTTAGAGTTTAAATATTATAATTTAAAAATATATTTATAAATTTTATAACTTAAGATTTACCACAATTAAACACTATTCATTATGTATTAACGCAAGTGCATGTATCGTTCAAGTAATATAAGACTTTCTTTAGTCCCGAGTACTGATTCTACAGGGAATCACGAAAGAAATCACTTTAGGTGAAGTTCTAGTCTACTACTATAAGGTCCTAATTTGGAGTGTCGATAAAAGTTGTTTTCTTATCACTACTTCTAAGTTATAATTTTAATCCTATGTTAAAGCTTATCAAGAGCAATCAATAAGGTGAAATTCAAGATTTATAAAAAGTACTTTTATCTTATGAATAATTAAGTAGGTTGTAGATTTGAAGTTTAAGAATGTAAAGAAAGTAGTGACAAAAGAAGAATATGTCTATCTACCCTCTCCCGAGTTATAGATACAATTAGTTCACTAATAAGTTATTCTCTTTTGGTACAGTGCCAGTTGGTGCTACAAATAGGCTCCCCATAACGTATGCCCCACCTGTCACCCAGAAAGCTCTAATATGAACCTACAAAATACTTATCTCCCTAACTTTGCACATCCATCCAACTACAATGTTTCATAGTTAAATGGACAATGTGAACATTCTCATGTTGATTCACCACCGCTCTCAATCAAGTCAAGTGGGTCACAACAAGTTTTAACAAATCTTATGGCCGGTAAGATATGTAAATTAAGTATAGGAGAACATTCATCACATATAAAATTAAGATTTATTCTTAAACTTCAACACCCTACACTTACTACCAAATCATCACAAAAGAAAAGCACAGAGTTTCTACTCACAGTGCATAATATATTCAATAAAATACTTCATGAAACAAAGCAATTAAACTAAATATGTGATTGAAAGGATCGCAAGACAATCAAAAAAACTTTACTTAGCAAAACAAGTTCACTAAATACGCGTTTACTGGATTATAATGCAATCAAAACATACAATACTTAACTTTAATCTCTTTCAGTCACTAGAGTTTCTAGAAATCTTTCCACTGAAGTTCTCTACTACTCCTTGCAATTGTTGATACAATTCCTTACAAATGCTATCAAATTCTCTTAAAAAACTCTATATATTAGTGGAATCCTACTCCTAATATGAATTTTATGAAGTCTTTGGGGAGTTCCAGACCGCGAAACTTTGTCCTCAAGTTCTCAAATGACAAAAAATCGCCCTTTCCATCGTCCCAAACCGCTAAATAACCCCAAGAAAATTGCTCCAATTACTTCTAGCACCAGAAAGCGACGCCTAGGTGCCGCCCTTTTCTGTCTTCTGGTTGGATTTTGGCACCTAGATGTTAGGAAGTGACGCCTAGGCGCCACATGCTGCACTCAACATTGCTCTAATTGTGTTGTTTCGCTCTGATTTCACTCAACATTGCTCTAAGACGTGGAATAAGAAAATAGATCCCCATCCGTCCTCCACCTTTCGAGGAAAAGTCGCTCCTAGCCTGGTGAAGCCACATGTCAGCCTTAGTTATCGCCTCCTCAACACTTCTCTGGGGACCACGACCCTCACAGCAGCCTAGACAGGTAATCTCGCTCCCACAGGTGAAACACTCATCCTAGGTGAACGCCGTGCAAGAGGGTCATCCAGAGGGACTCCCACTTGACCAACAACCCTCTCTTGAGGAGGGCCTGTAAGGAAACCTGAAGAGATGAGCTTAGTCTCACATTCGCTAGCTTTGTGCTTAGACACAACCCATTTCTTACTCAGTCCTTCGGCAGACACCCCACCCAGAAGCTTGTGCTTCACACCCAACTTGCAAGCTTGTGTCTGCATGTCACTCATTTTCTTAAGGAGTATGCTTTTTTCGGAAAACAGGTAAGGAGGAAGACACAAGATGAAATAATCAAAAGGTGCTGAAGCGGTGCAAACTTCCCTTGCCTTGCCCCAAAGTCTATTTATAATGGCATGGGAACGAAAATCCATGGAAGTCCATTATTGCACAATAATATCATTTATTTATTTATTCATTTATGTATAAGTGATAAAAAAAATTTTCTTGTCCTCATGTGGTAGACAACTTCTGAGGAGCAAGAGAATCGGAGAACTAAATATGTACACATGAAAATGTGTCTGCACGAATCTCAAAGTAGAGAGTGACCTATGAAGGAAGCACAACTAATTAGATGTAGCAATAGACAATTGTTTCAGATGATTAGAGGCAGAGAAAACACCTTCGCCGAACTATCACAAAAGATGATGAAAGGAAGTCCCTCAAGATGATCATCAACCTTCAGAAGAATCGATGGGAGGGACTCTTTCGGACCAAGAATCAATCGAACCAAGACCTGCCAACGATCGAAGACCCTTATCGATCGAATATCTTCGAGGCCTTATTATATATAAATAACCTTGTAAATTATTAAAAAACCCTCCAAAAAAGGTTAAGTATTAGGGGACTATTATGTACTTTTGTAATAATGAGACATATACCTATAAATAAAATATCCATATTATGAATAAAGAATACTCTTTTGCTCGTCTACTATCGCTCCTTCACCCTCAATCACTTTCTCTTAATTGTCTTTTAATAGAACGTTCCATTCATTTGGCATGTTTCCCGGACAATCTCAAATTTAACAACATACATAACTTCAACTGGTGTATCAAATGTTGAAAGGACCGACCAAATTATAAATTCACATATATCTATAAAAATTATGAATTCTATATAATATGAGAATAGATGTATTTTACACATTCATCCACTTCAAAACTGAAATTTCCAAACAAAACAATTGCTCATAAAATACTAGTTTTTGAACAACAGATTTCATAAAGCAACTGCGTCTCAAATGCACTCTAAAACATCACAAGATGGCAGGAGATCAGTTTGGGTGGCCCTGTTCGCATCTGGCTAAATAAGGTTTATTTCATCAACTACGCAAGAGTTTCTACCTCTAAATTGGCTTTTTTTTTTAGCAGATTTAAATTCAGATTAGGGTTAATGAGCCCATGAAGCTAGCCCTAGAAAATATTTTAGTCTGGAATCGAGTGCAACCCATGGCTAGGCGCTCCAAATATTTCCTCGACGTCAGAAAGCTCTGTTACCGATTCCCCTCCGAACCATGGCACGTCTAATCACCCCGGCTTCATTACTTGACGGCTTCAGCTTGCGGCGAGGTCTCCCGTGTTAAATTCCCTCCGCGGCATCTCGAATCTATGAGCGGATCCACCTGAGTTGGACATTGACTGGACTTCAGGTTCCAGAAGAAATCTATAAATTGGAGTCAGCCACCCCTGTCCCTCATGTGAAATTACTAGAAAAAGGTATCCTTTTTATTTAATTGCGTTCTTATCGCTATCTCTTTTTCTGTCTACCTCTTTCTTATCTTCTTTTAATCCGATTGTTTTGGAGTTTGTTTTCTGCTTATTTATCCGGTGTTGACCCGTGATTTACGCTTTTGATTTGGTTATCTTGATCTTCTCAATCGCTTAATTAGGAATGGATGAGGTATGAGGATTTCTGTTGTCGTTTCTTATCGTTGTTCTGTGAGTGAATTGATACAATTGGAAGAGAGGAGAGAACGGCCGCATCGGTAGAAGAGATGGGTTACTTGAATTCTGTGCTTTTGGCAAGCGGAATCCAGGGCGATGGTTCTCCCGTCAGCGGTGGAGGACTCAGGTATCTGAGTTACTGTATGCTTTTTGTCTGTTTGCTTACTGATTTAGGTTTTGTTATTATGGTCGGCAGCCTTGGTTCATTTGGACACCTTTTCCCTTTTGACATTCGGTGTAAAGATCATGAAACTAGTTTTCTAATTCGACATGCTCATCTTGTATTTAGGTTTTATTGACTTATTTGGTTTTTTCTGTAAACGATTTTGATATCCATTCTGTATGAGAATGTGCTGGAGTTTTCTAATTTGTTGAGCAACTTAAGGATTGTAGACGAGCCTTGTTCTCTAAAGAGGAAAATTGGCGCTATAAATCGTTCCCTTTTTCCTTTGATTTTCATAATTTGTTTCACTGTTTGTTTGCGTTTTTACTATGTTATTTAGGACCAGAACAATTGCAAAATATTTGCATGAACAGGCACATGGCGTGTTCTTCTTATTCCAGCTTCTAGAAATGGGATGCCCAAGTTTTCATCTTTTCATCTGTTTCCGAGATGCCATACTTTGTTTTCATCTCACAAAATGTATTTGACAAAGCCGCGGAGTTGCTATGAATATTATTTAAAAATCTAAACGATTCTCTTGTTCTCTTCAAACTAGATACATGAAAGAAATCGAAGTCATTAAAACAATCTAGAAGTTTGAAGTCACGCAGCAATGCTGATTTCTCTTTATTTAGTTTTGCAAGTGCTGGTTTAAGAAATGGCTGAAGGATATATTCGACTTGCCCCTCCAATGGCAACAATTTATAAATTAAGGCTTGATCAAGATATTACCTTTTAACTATAGTTGTCAACTAATTGTAAATTTTCTCAGCTGTCTTTTCTGTAGAAAAGGAACTTCCTTATATGTTTGGTTAGATATCTAATTATTTCCATGTTAGCACTCAATTTTCTTTCATGTTAGTTGTTTAGTTTTTTGGAAGCCCTCTGGCAGTTGAACAGATTGTTTTTATGTCAAACTTGTTTGAGGAAAATTTCTATAAAAAATAGGATACCTAAAGCATGCGGCTTCCATCATTGCATGATATGAGCAGCCAATGATGCACAGCCCTTATGTTTAGAATGCTTGTATGACAAAGTAAAGAGTTTGTGTGTGCGTGAGTGTGTGTGTGTGGTTTAAGCTCATGACTTTCACTTCAAGTCGCAATGCGGATGGCTAAGATTTGCTTTAACTTTTTTTTCAGAATGACGAAAAATCCTGTATGTTCTCTTAAGCAAATAACACTTCCTTACTCTGGATTGCTTACAGTCTTGACTAGTTTATTGCGGTTTTAATTTGTCATTGCTATTTTATGTCTATATTTTCTGATTGAAGTTTTTCTCACCTTCAGTATGAACTCGTGTAATTATCCGGTCTTTTTTACGTAAATCCTTTGCCATTCATACCTGTAAGCAATTAAGTTTTACATTATGTAGCATTTTTATCTTGATGACAGCCAGAACAGCAAATTCAGCTATGGATATGCAAGTTCTCCAGGGAAAAGGGCTTCAATGGAAGATTTTTATGAAGCCAGAATTGACAGTGTTGATGATGAAATAGTTGGTCTTTTTGGAGTATTTGATGGTATTTTTTTTCCCTCAATGTCGTAGAGCTAGAAGTATACCATTCCTCAATGCCTATTTATCAATATGAATGTAAACAAGTGCCTTTCAGTTTTACATGTTTAGTCATATTTCACCTGATTGCTCTACCTATTTGGTATATTTGAAAAATGATGTCCTTGTTTCATCATGTTGTAGTTTTCACTTTTGATTGTCTTATATTTATGATGTTTTACACTTTTTTTTCCAATGACTGCTATTATAACTTCCAGCACCCAACTATCAACATCTTTCATGTTTACATGCAGGTCATGGCGGTGCTCGTGCGGCTCAATTTGTTAAACAAAACCTATTCAGTAACTTGATTAGGCACCCTAAATTCGTTAGCGACACAAAGTCAGCAATAGGTGATTTCTTCTCTATCCATGCAAATTATTTTCTCATTTGTTGGATGGCAATTGTTTATCTCCATTTAAGGCTAAAATTCCAAATGTTACATCTACGTCTGATGAATATTAAATTTATATTAGGAATTTTTAAAGAAATTTTATATCATCAATTTTACCTTTTTTTTGTACTATTGAGCAGTTATTTTGGACATGAAGTCATGAAAATCATATTGTTAAACAATGTATTTAGTATACATGATAGATGTACATTAGGGGTGTAAACAAGCGGAACTTGAGCGGGTTAGAGGCTTGTTCGAGTTTAGCTTGTTTAATTTTTATTTTTGTTCGGGTTCAACTTGTGTTTGGTCTATTGTTCAAAGTGATGGTGATATTGATGGGGATGTTATTAGTAAAATTCAAGTTGGTTTTCTATTGTGTGATAGAAAAGTATCGCTTGAATTGAAAGGAAAATTTTATAAGATGGTGGTGAGAAGTGCAATCCTCTATGGCGCTGAATGTTGACCTTTAAAAGTGAAACAAAAAACTAAGTGTTGTCGAGATGAGAATGATTTGGTGGATTAGTGGCTTTACACTTGGAGACAAAATGCGAAATGAATATATCCGTGATAGTGTTGGTGTAGCTCCAATGACAGACAAAATTAGAGAGAGTCGTCTTAGATGGTTTGGTCACATTAAATATCGACCATCTGATGATCCTATTAGAAGAGTAAATGTTTTAGATTCGACTTATGTTAATAAAGGTAGAGGTAAACCTAGGATGACTTGGGCATATTGTATAAAAAATGATCTTAATATATTAGAATTAAATCACTAAATAGGACTAAATAGGTCACAATGGAGAAAAAGGATTCATGTAGCAGACCCCACTTAGTGGGATAAAAGTTTTGTTGTTGTTGTTGTTGGGTTCAACTCGTGTTCGAAATGACTCGCTAATAGCCTGTTCGTGTTTGACTCAATTCAAACTCATTTATTCGAATTAAGCTCATGTTCGGCTCGAACTTAAGCTCAAATTAAATTTAAAATATTAATTTTTTTTATTTTATAATATTTTAAAGGAAATAAAAATTTAATAATCACTCTTCCACATAATGGTCGTGAAGTTGAAAATTCTAATTTTCTCAACTTCGTTTAGTACATTTATAATGGATTGGTAATCTCATTTCTCTTGAAGTCTTGATGTGGGACTAACTTAATAGAAAAGAATTGGATCGGGCTAGGGCATTAACATACATACCACGAAATTTTTTTTATATTTAAATATGTAATAGTTGTCATCACTCATGAATACTGTAGGTGGGCCGTCAGGGGAATTATTGGAAAAATCTGAGCGACATTTACATGCATACCACCAAATTCTTATGTATTTACATATCTAACATGTTTAGTTTTTTTTTTTTCTAATTTGAGAGGCATTTACATACACACCACCCAATTCTTATTTTTATTTACATATCTAAGATGGAATTTTTTTAAAAAAAATAGCGGCATTTACATATATACCCCCCAATTTTTATGTATTTACATATCTACATCTAAATTATCTTTTTTATATTTATAAAAATAAAATAATTAATTTTATATTTGTATATTATTTATGTATTATTTAATTATTTCGAGCGCGAGCCAAACACTATCGAGCAAAAGTTTGTTCGTGTTTGACTCGTTTATAAATCGAGCTTAAAGAATTTGTTTGTGTTCGGCTTGTTTATTTAACGAACACATCAAACACGAGCTACTTAACAATCCTAATATGATTCGTCAATAATGAGCCTTTTTGACAACCCTATTATACATGATACAAGAGTTGGTGAGATTTATTCCATTTGGTTTGATAGGACTTGGGTCTAATTAGGCATGACTATCTTATTTATTATAAAAAAGATAAAATAATATTAGTTTAAGATGGTGTTATAACAAAATGACAAATTTAATGAGCAATTAGGAGAGAAATAATAAGAAATCATTTATTATAATATAAAAAATATTATTTTTTAAATATTTTTAATATTTTAAAGATAAATTCTTCAGATTTAATAAAGTTTGAGTATATTTAATATTACTATTTTTTTTTTAAATAAGCAGGCTCACGAGTTAACAGGTCGAGTTGGGGCTAGCTTAAGCTTAGCTTATTAGCTCATCGAGCTCAATTCAGGAGCCACTTATCGAGCCTAGTTCAAGCTGGCTGACGAGTTAGTTTGACTCACTTAAATTCCTAGACTTCACAAAAGAATTTAATTTTCACTTATGTATAATCTTTCCCTTTTCCGTGATTGATATTTCAGTGAAGTGTTTCAATACCTTCGACCTTTATCCTTTTCCTTTCTTATCCTTTTCATATGAGTCTATCTCCTTTTGCTTCAAAATAAAAGAAGAGGTCATTCTTCATATTAAACTTATCTCTCTTCCCCTTATTTGTTTAAATACTATTCAGAAGCTTGAGCAAATCCAGTAACCACAACCATCAGTCCAAGACAACCCTAAAGAGCATCCAACATTCCTTCAATCAAACCTAAAGAGGAAAGTTAATAAAAACATCCATGAGAAACGACAACCCTAAATAAAATAGAACTCAGGTTGAAAACACAACCATGAGTTCATGACAGCCCTAAAGAACATCCATCAATCACAAAAAATCAGAAAAACTCAAGTTGCCATTAACCACAACAAAATCACCATTGCAATAGTAACCAACATAACATTTTTATCAACTTAGAGGAACACCGAACACCCTCTAGATAACAACTGTCAACCACAAAAAAAAATCAGAATATTATTATCTAAATATGTAAATAAAAGCAAACTTAAAGCAATCGTTTAATGGCGGATTTCACATGAGAGAGAAAACAAAAGGTCAATCGAGAGAATTTGAGGCTAGAGAGAACATATAAACATTCTTTTCATTTTCTAACCAACAAAATTGGGGCTCAAAAATTCTCGACACCGAACATGAAACGCCCTCTATCAGGAATTTCTCTTATCAACATTCGTCAATGCCAAACCACGATAACATATAAACATTTACCATAACAAAGTATAGAACTAGGATTGCAACAGACGATAACTATCTTAGATGATAAAAGCAAGATTAAGAGAAAGAAGTTACTCAATAGACAAAAAAAAAGAGAATGTGAGGACGGATAGATAGAGATCAGGCAATGAGCAAAAGACACCATTGAATGGTTGTAGCCAGTTGGAATGCCAGAGTTGTGATTTGTTTCCTCACCCAGGGTTTGATACTTTGACAAGGGAAGATAGGAGACTATAGAGGACTAGCCTAGGCGGTAGGGCAAATGAAAAAAATTGGGGAGGGGCTATGGGAATGAAAATAATTTAGGGTTTAGTGACTTAACTCTTAAGCCTTATTATCGTAAATCATCATCACGTATCCGCGGACCCCAGGTGTTGATCTCCACCATCCATTTTTAATTTCGATGCAATCGAAATGCCTATAGAGTCAATCCAATATTGACTCAAAATTGCATAAAAAAAAGTCTGATCCAAATGTTTGACTCACAGATCCACTTGTTCTGTTTGATCTGGTCTCGATTCATGCTCAAATTCAAATTGGTTTTCGAGCGATTAACCTTCTTCGAGCAAATTTCTCAGCCCTAAAGTTGGGCGACACTCCCCCATAAGAAAGAAGACCGATCAGCTCTCAATCTATCAGGATTGAACGACATGGGATCACACTTGGCTCAATTTCACACCGAATGTGAGTCCGCCTCACATGCGGGACACCTTGTGTCATTATCCTAGCCATTTTCTATAGATTGGGAGGTTGAGGAGGCAGTGCAAGTCAGCTTATCCTTCAAAGAGCAATATACATTTAGTAGAATTTAAAAAAGTCATTGAAGTGCAAGAAATAAGTTGTTGAGATTTCACATATTTGTCTTCGAAATATAAGCCCTCAGATCCACACATCATCTCAACCCATTGAAAAGGAGCAGTTATCCTCCTTTATAAGTCAAGGATTTTAAAATAGGTTGATAACTTAAGGAGAGGGACTTGGAAATGGGCAGTGGAAGCACGACGTGGTTCTAGCAATTGTTACTCCTGCAATTTGGTTAAATAGGTAAAATAAAAAAGTATTATTTCGTTGAAAATATGAGAAATTGTATCTTTTTTATAGCAACTCCAATATATACTCTTTGTTGCATATTAATTTTGTATGTTTCCTAATAGAAGAGCTAATATGATGCTACCCAAAATCTTATAAATCAAGTATTATTATTTTGGATGAAGTTTTTAATTAAAAATGTTGATTAATGATTTTTATGTACAATAACTCAACGAGAAAGGACGCCTTCAAGTGCCTTGATGCGACTCTACATGCCGTGTGTATGTCATTAGAGGAGAAATTTCTGAAAGTCACGGGCTTATACAAAACTCATATATTATCCCATAAACTAAAATATAGCTCATTGAATAATATGTGAAAACTCATTGCCAGCGAAAGCCATGAAGCGACATGACTATGAAACTACTTACAACTAGGCAAATCTTACAAGCAGTTATGACTTCATTTTATAACTGGTAAAAATAAAAAAAACCCTTTAAATTTTCTTCCAAGTTGAAGAGTACCACCATAGATAAGGTTCTCAAGGCTGTCATAAGTTAAACCATTTTAAAATTGGACAAAGTTATATAATTTAAGTAATTCTTACATATCCAATCTATTAAGTTCTTTATATTAATTGCACCAGTGACTGGAGAGTTGATGCAATATAACATATTAGACAAGATTTGTATGAAAAGCAAATGTGTATTGTTTTCCTAGTATTATAACTTTTTAATGTATATGTATTTTTAATCACCTAGATTGCTTTTGTACTTACATTTGTGTTATAAATGTTGTATTATAATTCTTCACTTGCACTTTGTGTTATGCTTGCCGGTAGATCTCTTCAAATGATATAGTTTTTATTTGTGATGTGCTACTATCATATATATATATATATATATATATAAAAGATGGTTGTGAGACCTGCAATGCTTTATGGCGCGGAATGTTGGCCTTTAAAAGAGAAGCATGATCCCGTCAGGTTTGGACTGGACCCATGCACCTAACCGCTCGAGTACCACCCTCATAAACATCTGTTGCGGCGGGTGAGGGGTGGGGAGGATTCGAACCTCAAACTAGAGGGGACTTACAACTGACGAAGCAGATGTCTACCAACTGATCTGGGAACATGGCGCATATATATAAGTATATATATATATATATATATATATATATATATATATATATTAAATTATATAGTCATGGTTGTTACTACATGCTCTTTGTATATGCGTAATCTAAACTCTTAAAGAATCTTATTTGAATACTGTTCGAACCCTATTCAAATCATGTTCAAATATAATTCAAACATTGTTGTAACCTTTGTTGAATCATGTTCAAATCATGTTTGGACCTCAAATCATGTTTGGACCATGTTCGTTTGGACCATGTTCGAAACTTCATCAAATCTTGTTTAATTTATGTTCAAACCTTGTTTAGTCGTTGTTTGAACCATATCTTCAAATCAGATGGACTTACAACTGACGAAGCAGATGCCTACCAACTGATCTGGGAATGTGGCGCATATATATATATGTGTGTGTGTGTGTGTGTGTGTGTGTGTGTGTGTGTGTATGTTAAAATTTTGATGCATGCCATAGCTGCCATGATAGTTCTTTGCTATGTTTAGTGTCCTATATAGTCATGGTTGTTACTGCACGCTCTTTGTATATGTGTAATCTAACCCCTTAAAAAATCTTATTTGAATACTGTTCAAACCCTATTCAAATCATGTTCAAATATGATTCAAACATTGTTGTAACCTTTGTTGAATCATGTTCAAATCATGTTTGGACCATGTTCAAAACTTCATCAAATCTTGTTTAATTTATCTTCCAACCTTGTTTAATCTATGTTTGAACCATATCTTCAAATCATGCTTGAATTTATGCCAGTTCATGTTTCGATCATACTCAAAACTCAATTTATTCCAATTGCTAGGTCCAATTCTCATTTGTGCAAATAATTTGCCAAAAAGAGGACTTAAGATGAGAATATTACTAACATTTTACCTTCGTACCATTGTAATTGCCAAAGCAGCTGTCTCTAAGAAATGGTGGATAGCTACAAGTGGAATTAAAAAAGAGGTGGTGTGAGTGAGAAGGTTGTTTATTTATTTGTTTATCTTTAGTTACGGTGCTTAGCCAGATTTCTTAGGACGAGTAATTTTGAGAGGAGATTTAAATTTCACTCCCTCCTTTTTTTTCATGTCAAAATATCTATTTCCTCTCATTCGAAAATATCATCATTCATATATATATATATATATATATATATATATATATATATATATATAGCTAGATAGATATCTATATATATCTGTGTGTGTTTGCGCTTCTTGTCAAATTTGTAAATTAAATCCTTGAATCGAATTATTATTGGATCTTTTTATTTCTGAGTTGTAAATTATTTACTATTGTATATTTTATGCAGTTGATGCATACACTGAAACAGATTCGGAGTTCCTCAAATCTGAAAATAATCATGGCCATGATGCTGGATCAACCGCTTCAACTGCTATTCTTGTTGGTAATCGTCTGCTGGTTGCTAATGTTGGGGATTCTAGGGGTGTTATCTGTCGAGCCGGACATGGTAAATTTTCATATTTCATTACTTTTGAACAATTTTTATCGATTGTGAAACATTTAAACAAATTTTCCGATAAGAAATGTTGTACTAAAGTTTGATTAGGAGATTCATCTTTCAGTTTATTATTTGCATATTTTCCTGATATTTTTTAGTGGGGCTAACTTGGACTAGAGTTACATGAGTTTCTCCATCCAACATCTGTGAAAACAATCTACTTATAATAATAGGAAAATTACATGCAAACCACACAAATTCTTATTTATTCACATATGTAACACCCAAGGTGTGATATTTGCACTTATAACATCTTGATGTCATATACCTATGCATGAAAAGTTATATTTCACTTTTAAGCGATAGTTATGGTAGTGTTTTTTATGTTGTTAAAGATTTGAGTGGCATGCTTGTAAATATGAATGTTTAGGTGTTAGATATGTAAATATATAGAATTTTATGTTATGCATGTAAATGCCACTTGAAGAACTAATGCTTTACTTACATCTATAATATTATCATGGTATCAGCACTAGCTTGAGAACTTCACGCTTTAACTTTCCATATTGTCGTTTTCCATTCTTTTTCTATCTATCAAGAATGATATCTGGTTTAAATTTGTAGATAAAATTTGTACACATCATTGTTGCTCGCATTGAATAGAAGTTGAGGTTTATTATTATGTGACGTATATTTTTAAAATAATGGCTCGCAGTTAACATAATATTAACTTCTATTTCTCAGATACTTATATCTTTATATTTATTTATATCTATTTCTCAGCTGTGATTTTAAGAACTGGAGATGATCACTTGGTTTATTTCTCTCTGATCTAATTAGGAAAAAAATTGTAAATGTCACTTGAGCAAACGGTATAATTAGCAAATTTCTTTGAGTTATTGATTGTTCATTCGTGTTTAGTTGATAAATAAGCTTCAATGCAAGGCCTTAATTTAAGGGTGATTCAACGTGTGCAGCTATAGCTGTTTCTCGTGATCATAAACCCGACCAAACGGATGAAAGGCAACGCATCGAGGATGCTGGAGGCTTTGTAATGTGGGCAGGTAAGAAGAGCAAGTAATCATCAGAACAGGAATTTTTAAAAGAAACTTAAATACCTACCTACCACACAATTCTTACGGATTTACATATCTAGCACCTAAAGTTTGTTTACATTTATACCACATTGATGGCATAAGTCCATTTGACTTTTATATTAGTAAAAGTAATATTTTTGATGTGAAGGTTTGAGTGTTATGAATGTAAATATTAAAGTTTTAGATGTTAGATATGTAATTACATAAAAGTTGTGTGTGTATGTAAATGCTCTATATGATTGTATTCCTTTTACCTCTCATATCTAACAAGTGCCCAACTATAGGAACATGGAGAGTTGGTGGTGTTCTTGCTGTATCCCGTGCATTTGGTGATAAGCTTCTGAAGCAGTATGTTGTGGCAGATCCAGAAATTCAGGTCCAAGAATAACATTTTCATCTGAAATGCATTACTTTCATTTGCTATTCTCTTTTCTGGATCTAGAAATATAAGTTTATCAAGAATGTTAATCCTCCATAGTTTTTTTTCATATATTTCTGGGGAATTTTCATGCATACCTATGAAATATATATATTCATATATCTAACACTTGAATATATGTTATGACTGATTTATATAAACTCTATTCTATAAATGGCATAAAAAATTAATGATAACGGAATTCATTATAGAACTAAGGGGAAACAGATATTCTTGCTGAATTCAAATAGAAAATTACAACAAGCCAATGTGTAAATCTGAAATTTTAACATACAACAACACAATACTAGCCCTAAGGTTGAATCGAGGGTGTAAGTGGTGCTGATTAGAGGTTGGGCCTCCAAAAAAATAACAAAGAGGAGGTCAGTGGGCTGGAATGTGGGGCGGCAATAAAAGGGAAGATGGCAGCAGCCCAGTGAGGTGAGGAACTGCCAGAGCAACGAATGGACTTGCTGTCCTTGGCGGCAGCAGCAGCAGCGAACGGGAGGCTGAAACAACAAAAACAATGAAGGGTTGTTATCCTGGGCGGCAACAACAAGTAAAGGGAGTTCGTGAGTGATCGAAGTGAAGATGCAGACGATTTGGGTTGGCAGCATCACAGGTGGAGCTGTGAGGGGAAGGAAGCTGATGCAGGAAAGTGATAGGGAAGGATATCAGATGGATAAACACTACCTCGAGAATGAGATATAGCCGGAGCACCATTTAGAATCCTTGGATACAGCCCTTGAAGGGAGATGGGAGACTCCAACGGCTATCCCGACACAAACACAACAAAAAAACTAACCCTAGACTTCAATGAAAATGAATAAATAGACCTATGATAACTAGGAGTGGACTTCTCTAAAAAAGAGAGGCGCTACTCCCTGGCTTAGGGCTGACCGGTCCTCACAGGACTTGGACCAAACTGGTCCAAGCATGCAACTGGGCATTAGACACCCACGTTAGTCTCTTGGGGTTGGGGGGGCTTCGATCTCATCTGTCGAAGTTTTTTATCTTCTCATAATATGAAGTCATATTGGCCACGCTGAATGTAGCAAAAGTATTGTAATCACTTGGGGTTGGAGGATTTTTGGCTACGCCCCTCGAACCACCTCGATCCCCACGTTCGGATGTATTCTCCCACAAGATGCTTGAGAAGATTTCCTGAATTTGCATGTAACCATCTCTATCTGTTCAACCATTTGTGGGTACCTTGTTGAATTGAAATGGAACTTGGTGCTAACTGTGCTCTGCAGAGTCCCAAAAAAGTAGCCCAAGGTTGGCTCTTCCCTCTGTGAAGTGAAAACCGACTGAACCTCCCCTAATGGTGATAGTTCTGGCAATAAGCTGTCAATTAGGATATCCTGAAATTCTCTCTGTAGTTGTTGTTCTATATCTGATACCAAAACTGATCCCAATGACATCTGTCTGCTTGAAAGAGCACCAGAACTTCAAACTCCATAGAAGGCAAGAGAACTATGTGCTTTCTTTCCTTTGTCAATTAGTTGGTGTTTTTGAACCCATCATGTTGAGTCTTGCGCTCAAAGTACCTCAGACTCCCCAACAACAAACATCACACCACATGATTATGTTGTTGGTCCCTAATAGAAAACTCTACAAGATATCTCGTGTCAATGCTAATCATGTTCTTTTTCAACCACGTTAGGGAATATGGTTGAGAATGTCTCTGACTAGTGAGACTCAACTTATTCACCATATGTATAGATGCCACGTTCTTACTACTGTTTCCATCGATGATAATGCCACACACATTTTACTTTACAGTGTAATAGATGAAAGATGCGGCGAAGCCATTGCTGCTCTCTTGCTATCATTAGATGGAAGCTGGTACTCCTACACATCCTCACTATCTTCTATGTCTCCAATACCACTCTTCACGTTTTTTGCTGCTCTCTACTCAGTAAAAGAAACAACTCTGGTAGTAGGAAACTGGAAGCAATGTATTTTAACCCATGATATCTAAAACACTCTCTTGCTGGCAATGTGTTCAGTACACTATTCCTCTTAGGATTCTTCCCACTCTGATCAGCTCTGTCATCTTTTTTGGACAATTTTCATATCTTCCTCAGGTGTGTCTCCTACTATTGGTGACTGTATGAATATTGTCAAGGTCTTAACATCACTCAACGACAAATACAACTGTAGTCGGACAACATTGTTGAATGTTGGCTTCAGACCTTCTAAATTTTTGGTAATATTGTGCTCTTGTAGCTCTATCAACTCACATTTTAGCATGAGCTGCTCAAACTGTGTCGTGAACTCTTCCACTAACAACTCTCTCTGTTGTAGGTGATGGAGCTTCAAAAATGTCCTAGCAGTAGTGTGGGGATAGGTGCTTATTTACATCTCCTTCATCATCTTCAGCGTAGTGATCTTGTTCCAACCTTCTTTCTGTCTCATTCTCTTCTTCAGCTTTATGACATCATGCTTTACTCTTCCATAAGCTGACACTTGTACTCAAAAATCTTCTCGACGGTCTGCAGTTACTCAATGAAGTCATCCAGATTCATTTGCCTCTCAAAATCTGGTAAGTTTACCTTCACTCCCATGTCTCTATGTCCTCCAAAACTCATTCCATCCTTCGGCCTCATTTTATACTAAATCCCAAAGCGTTGTGGTCTATCCTCTTCACTGGAATTATTCTTACCGAAGGGATTCAAATTTTTCTTCCTCTCATCTTCGAACATCACTGTCACGATCGACGGTGATCTCTTCATGGGTTTCTTTTGTCAAGTTCAACCAGTCTTTGTTGAAGTTGGTTTTTTTTCCGCTGCAACTTTTACAAGGTAATTTTATGAATGGCTTCTGACATTTGTCTCTTTAGTGGTATAGCTAGGGTTTAGATTTTGGAGGTGTATGGGGCTGATTTAGGTTGGTAGAAAAATATTTTAGTGTGGCAGATTTGAAAAATTAGCAAGGAGGAATGGTTTTAGGTGGAATTTGGGTTAGGTATTGGTGAATTTTGATAATCCTAGGTTGGAACTAGGGTTAGAGTATGTCTGATACAAATGATATCGGAATTCATCACACAACCAAGGAGAAACAAATATTATTGCTAATTCAAATAGGAAATTACAACATGCCAATGTGGAAATTTGAAACTACAGCAAACAACAACAAAATACTAGCCCTAGGGTTGAATCTTGGGTAAAAGTGGTGGCGGTTAAAATTTGGGCCTCTAGAGAGGTAGCAAACGGGAGGGTAGTAGGATGGAATGTTGGGCGACAACAAGGGCCAAGCTGGCAACAGCAAGGGGAGTTGAGGAATGGCGGGAACAACGCTGTCCTGGGCAGCGGCAATAGGGAAATGAAGGCGGAAACAACAGGAACAACAAAGGGTTGCTATCTTGGGCGGTGGCAGCAAGGAAAAGGAGGCCATGAGAAATGGCAGCAAAGATACAGATAGTTTGGGGTGGCTGCAACACAAGTGGAGCGGCAAGGGAAAGGAAGCTGGTGCGTGAAAGGGATGGGGAATGTTATTGAAATGATAAACACCACCTCGGGAATGAGATACGGCCGGAGCACTACTCGGAACCCTGGGATACAACTCTATGAGGGAAAAACAGATGTCGTGGCTGTCCCGAAACAAACACAACAAAAAAAACTAGCCCTAGACATCAATAAAAACGAATAAATTAGACCTATTATAACTAGGAGTGGGCCCCTCTCAAAAGGAGAGGCGTTACTCTCTAGCTTAAGGCTAGCCGACTATCATAGGATCTAGACCGAACTTGTTCAGGCATGCAGACAGGCATCAGACGCCAGCGTTAATTTCATTAACATGAACTTATCTAAATTAAAATGCATTTTTCCATACATATGTTTTGATATTATTTCAACATTAAGATCTTCTATGAATAAATGTAAACATTTAATTATTCGATGACATATACATAAATTTCTCTATTTTTTCCTCAAGCTTTATTTGTCAGAGCATTTAAATGTATAATGATCATATAAAATTTCAGGAAGAAGTGGTTGATGGCTCTCTTGAATTTCTCATCCTTGCAAGTGATGGGCTGTGGGATGTTGTTACAAATGAAGTTAGTCAAAATACTTCAATTTTCAATTACTATTTATTTTTTTGAAGCTTTAAATGCATACCACTCAATTCTTAATGTATTTATTTATCTAACACCATACATGCCACCTTATCTATGCATGAAAATGTATATTTCACTTTCTAAAATTTAAGATGGTAATATTTTTTATGTGATATGGAAGATCTAGGCGGTATAAATATAAAAAGTAATGTTTAAGTGTCAGATATGTAATCATATAGCTATTGAGTGGTATGCATGTAATTTATAACATTTTTCTTGAAATTGGAATCATCCTTCTTACTGTAATTATGCCCTTTTGTTTAGGAGGCAGTCTCAATGGTCCAGCCAATTGATGATCCAGAAGAGGCAGCCAAGAGATTGATGCAAGAAGCTTACCAGCGAGGGAGTGCAGATAACATTACTTGTGTTGTCGTCCGTTTCCTAACTAGCCAGAATAATAGCATCTCTGAGCAGAAATGACACCGTGGACCTTCCAATTTCTAATCTGGGCTTGTGCAGTAAAATCTTCTTTCAACAACTGATTTCTTATAAATGTTCTTCCTCCATGAAGTTCTAATATTTATCACCGAATTCTTCTTGTTAACATTTACATCAATTATTACCTTATAGCCTATTTCCTGCTTGAAGTGGTTGCTGACCAAGCTTATCTATTTAATGCTCTTTTTTAATTAATTTATTATGAAATTCATCTACATCCCACAAAATTCTTATGTATTTACACACTTAATACGCAAAATTTAATATTTACATTTATAACACCTTGGTGTTATAAATCTATGCATTAAAAGGTGCATTTCACTTTTAAGGAGTTAGTGATTGCGGTATATTTGATGTCATGATAAAGATTTGAGTGGTATGCATGTAGATATGAATGTTTAGATGTTAGATTTGTAAATTCGTTAGAATTGTGTGGATGTATGTACATGGCCGTACTTTTTTTAAAAATAGGACATTTTTAGAAGGGAATACAGATGCATCATGCAAGCGGCTTGTTCTCTTACAGCAAATTTCCTTCCACCGAGTTTCGTCAAATAAGTAAATAAATAGAGCATTCATATTTACTTGAAAATATTCTTCACTGAGGTCAATCAAGTTTAATGTGTAATGCCTCAATGCCACTGATTAATAAAAATAATTCTTTATTAGGTTTCCACAGGCAATAACTTTGTTGAGATCAGATTGTTTTTGGTCCATAAATTGGAAGATATGGTAATATGAAAGTGGAAAATCTAGTCATTGAGAACAAGACTGTTGCTTGGAAAACTCTACTAGAAAAATAAATGAAGAACCTGTGTCCCATGGTGAGAATTTGTTGTTTGAATGTTGTACAAGAGAATATCAATTTCAAAGCAATTGGATAACTTTATTACAGGGTTCTGGTCAGGCAGTTGGAATGAGAAGAGGTGGCATCGAGGGAACCAAGATTAGTCACTATTTTGTTGATTTTCAATGTTGACTTCCTATCTTGAATGGTTAAAGCTTGGTTTGATCCTCCAAAGCAACCAGAGCTATTGGTTCAACATGAGACTATTTTCTGGGCTCTATGTGCTTCGCAGCCTAATTTAACATTTTGCTGATGACTTTAATTAGTCTAGTTTAGCGTTTTTTTATGACGTTGAAACTCACATGGATTTAATCTTATATTTGGATATGTCAGTCTTTTACTCAATAACTTAAGAGGAAACATTTCTTCTACAATTGCTCATCAATGTTCTCCTAGAATCCTAACTTATGATTGCCACATTAGAATTATGGTTTATTGGCTTCGATGCTCATGACTTTCATCCTAGCATGCCTCTAGTAGCCTCCAACCATCTTCCATAGAATTCCAACAAGAACTGCATCTCTTATACGGCCTTGCTTGACAACATCTGTCAACTTTCATGCTAAAAATTTATTAGAGTCCCTACTAATAGTATCTTTTCAGTCGCCTGACTAACATTGTGGATGGTCCAGAAGTGAAGATCTCATGTTTTGACAACCACCTTCAATAGTCTATCGGCTCTCGAATTCAAAGTTCTCTCCAGCACCCAATGCACATTAATAGTTTTATCATATATTAATGTTCGGACCGATAAATCTTATCGTTGGTTTTTGACTTTTCAACAAGCAGTCAAATCATTAATAATTTGGGACATTGTCATGTAAGCATTTATCGGTTCTTTGGCTAAAAGGCCTAGACATTAATTTCTAACAAAATTATAAGCACATTTGACACATAATTGCCAAAATATTATGCTTGTTAAAAAAAAATTGCTCTATTGCATGCATAATTGCTTGTTGGTAAAAATGAGAATAACATTGGTACTCTAGAGTGGTTATAATGACTTTTGAAAGTGACCAATGAGAAGCCTATTTTGTCCCTACAAAATCTCATCAATAACAGTTCACAATGATTAAGACAAAGATCATATAAATGATGTTGCTTTTTCCTCTATATTGGTTAGCTTATACTAGTTGGTTTTAACACAACAGGTTAAGGTGAAAAATTTAACTTGAGTAAATCATGGACGTCTTTACTCATCACTATGTTAATAATTGGCATCTCTCGAGTTATTGTTATCATCATTTTGACCTCTTCTTTGGCACAATGATTTTTCTTGAATTGGATTTCAACATTTAGCTCTCCATATGAGGTTCAACTTATATATTTGGTGGTAATCTTTTAATGTCTGTTTAAGAACTTTTTCTTTAACAACTCAACCCTTATGACAGTGCAAAAATCACACCATGACCTAGTCATCTTTTATTATGACTTAGAGATGAACCAAACTTTAGTATTCTAATCCTATTCTTTAAATTTAGGCCTAGAGTCTAGCCTTATATCTTGCTTAAGTACACTTTTCCTTAATAAGACCATCAGAAGCATATTTGACTTTTCCTTACCCTTGATTAGCCCTTTTTGGTAGATTTCTTAATAGCTAAGTTCTTGGAGATTTTTTCAACGAACTAGAAACAAACATATCTACTCAGCTTTGACCGATATAATTTGGTCGTCGACTATGGATAACTCTTTTCTCTTAAAAAGCTACCATGCTGGCAATTTACTTCAAGAACTCACCCCTTCTCATTGACTTCTCTCTAGAGCTTGGCTCTAAACAACCTCATTAGAGAAGGCGACCCCTTGCTATTTGAATCATTTTTTGTTAACTCTCTCTTGAGAACTCAAATTGTTGGGCACATACCTAAAGAATCACCTTTTCTTAGTGAGGTCCCTTGTTATCTTATCTTCCACCAATCTCTATATGGTGGTTGAGCCATTCTATTCATATTGGTCATGGTTGACTTCCACCTTGCTTCAAGAACTGTTCTCAACGATTTTGTCTGAGAGCTTGACTTAAATTGACCTTCTTAAGGAGTTCAATTTTTATTTTTCATGGTTAGTGTTGGCCAACACGATCTCTTGGAAGCCATCAAATTGGTAACTTGCTTTAAGAACTCGCCCATTCCTTATGAGTTCTCCCTAGAGAATAGTTCTACTGAACCCTTAGGTAGTTTGACCATTCTTGTTATAGATAAACTTTGTCAAATTTTAATGCTACTGACTTACCACGAGTACTTAATCATCTTGGTGAGTTTTCTTGGGAGCTTGACTTTTTGCGACCTCCTTAGAGAGGTTAGATTTTATTATTTTAAGTCTGCTTTGATCAACTCTGTCTCTTGGTAAGTCATCATGCTGGTGACTTGCCCCAAAAACTGGCTTCTTCTTGGAGAGTTCTCCTAAGATTTTCATTGTCAAGGATCTCCTTGAGATTAACCATTTTTATTCTAATTGATTTAATCAAATTTTACTTTGTTTGAGAAGTCATTATGCTATTGATTTTTCTTGTGAAGTTACTTTTTCTCAACAAGTTCTCTTTGGGGCTCGACTCTTAGTGATCTCCTTTTGTAGTTTACGTTTTCTAATCTTGGTTTCCTCTATTCACTATATTTCCTACCTTAGGTAATAATCACCACCTAGGCATTCGCATTTGGTCCTTTTTAGTTGAGTTCCAAAGGGACCAGAATCAAACTATTTTTTAAAATTAAAAAAAATATATTGATAGATTACACAGATTGTCAAGATCATCCTCTTTTGAGAAAATATTTATTGTAAGACACTGCCTAAAATAATATTAGACAAGCCATCATCAATTATTAGTTGGCTCCAACTACTTCCCATCAAAGTCTTATGACAGTGTAATAAGTGCTTCTCCTTTATCTCTTTCTAAGAAGCTAAAAAACCTAAAAAAAAAGACTCATGAGTTTAGAGACTAAAAGATTTGAGACTCTTGTGGGTTAGCATATAGAGAGTAACCCAATAGATATTTGGCTAATCCGTCGTTGAGAATTTAGTGATTAAGACTACTCCTTGAGAGATTTACTATTCTTAATTCTCACATAGTGAATCTAATAACCTTTGAAAGATGATTCCCAGACATCAAATCCCAAAGCCTTAAGGAAATCTCGCACATGCTTTTGTATTTTGTTACTTCTCACCCAGTGTTCCTCAGTCTAGGAAGCAGAATTTGTTAGTCTTTCAAAGTTTTCAGGCCACCAACAAGGTATGCAATAATCTCACATATCTTCAGAAGTCTCTATGTCATCACATTCATGGTAACACCAAAAATATTTAAGTTAAGAGATTCGAAAGGAAATCAACAACGCTAAACGTAAATTATATAAATCTTATAGATGTTCTAATAGCAGTTTCATACTTACGCCTTCTCTTTTTTCACCATGTAGGTTTTTACTTTTTTCACCATGAATTTTTACACCTATTTGGCTACCCCTTTTTGGGTCCTTCGTATTCTTCGATCGAGTCCTTATGGTCATCTTGTAGGTCCTCTTTGTTGAGGGATAAGTCACCCATCGGTTTATGGTGGACCACCCTCTGCCCGGTAGCTTAGCTCTATCATGATAGCAAGAGGTTTGCCCTACTGAGATTGCAAAAATCACTTTGGTGTCCTACTTTTAAAGGGTTATATCAAAACAAGCATAACACCTTTTATCGAGAGTCTTCCTGGATTTCCCTCAAAATATAAGTGACCATGAAGATATGTCATCGTGGGAGGTCTCTGAAAACCAAAAAACAAAATTAATTTAATTTTATCTTCTATTTAATATACGAAGGTCTTATATAAGGCTTTTCTCGTATATTTACTTAAGTTGAATACTATTGATTTGTTTTGGGCTGCTCATTTATGGTTCATGTTACAAGGATGGTCTTTTAGGATATCTTCGTATCTATCCTTTTTATTTTCTTAATTTGTATTTGCCCAATTTTGTTCTTCTTTTCCTCGCTGTTGTCTTTTCTAAGCATAGGCTTTTTGGAAAGGAAACTCTAAATGGAGCAACTATGAAGATGGCCTCTCTCCAAGAAATAAAAAGGTGTGCGAACCCCAACCAATTTGTTCTTAATATCATAGGTTGCAATAAAAAGACACTTTTGACCACATTTATTTCATGTTACCATCACAAATTTAATTTGATATCAAGTATACTTCTCAAATTAATAAAAGTTCAAGTTTAAGTAATCTTTCACTACTTCCGAGTGTGAGAAGACTAGAAAAAGAACAAGAAGATAAAAAGATAAAGAAAATAAGAAAATTTTGCAATTTAAATTATTAAAATTAAAAAAATAAACCAATGATTAAATACATCTCCAATTACTAGATTTTTGTTAAAAAAAAGGATTAA